TGATGATATTTGTTTCCAGTCTCAAAGCTATCTGAAGTCACCAGCTCAAAGCTTTCGAAACATCGTCCCTTTCTGATACATAGCGGAAACAGTTGGATTTCGAAAACTTTGAGCTGGTGACTTTAGATAGCTTTGAGACTGGAAACAAATATCATCACTCGACTCAGCGTGGTCAATTACCCCTCTCTATACCTATTTTCGGCTGATCCAGGTATAACTGGCCGCAATCGGGATCTCTGGAAAACCCGTATAACTCCTGAACGGAACAAGTTAGAAACACCGGCTTTACGTAGTTCGGAAGAGAACAATTTTCTCTATCGAATACATGTGTTAAAAATGAAAATCCAATAATGGATCCTTGAAAATCATTGTGGTTTTCTAAAGATTCAACTGAAATCCCTCCAGAAACCCAGTCGAAAATTTTTCTTCTTCTATAGTTCGATGTCCTCCGGACTTGGCTACGACGAAAACCGTTTCGGAATATGTCTTTGCATTAGTGAGTTATTCAAAGAGGCGCATAGTATCTTATATTTTGAATCCTATAGTAATATCTCGTGTGTTTTGTTGATATCTATTTTTGAGAGATATCAGGCATCCCTCTTATTTTTTATTTATAATTAATTGATATTTTATTATTATTATAGGAGCAAACTGGTGGTACAGTACAATCAGTTTTAAATCGAATGAATACAAATGAAAATCCTCCTACTCATAATAAAACGAATAAATTTACTCAAGGTTTTCAGAATATAATTGATGCCTATGGTGTGGCTACTTATCGAGAAATTAATCCAAGTATGTCAAAAACATTCTGTTAATAGTTAAGTTAATAAATTTATTTACTTCAATTTTAGCACCGTATACGATAATAACATTTCCATTTTTATTTGCCGTGATGTTTGGCGATGCTGGACATGGTTTAATTATGCTTCTATTTGCTTTATGGATGGTCCTCAAAGAGAAAACATTAAAAGATAAATGGAAAAATGTTGAAGTAAGAAAATTGATTTTGTCCACTTTTCTCGTGTTTGTTTGTTTATTCTCTATATTCTATTTTTCTTTTTGCTTATTATTCATAGATTTGGACAATATTTTTTGGTGGACGATATATTATATTGTTAATGGCATTATTTTCAATATATACGGGCATGTTATACAATGATGTATTTTCAAAATCATTGAATATTTTTGGTTCATCGTGGAGAGTTGGATTTTCGTAGGTGTTCTTGGTTTTTTTATCTCTATTATCTGATTTTCGTTTTCAATAGTCATCTATTCTTCTAGTGATAAATATATGAATGATTCAGAGACAGTGACACTTGAACCGACACCATACAACTATTCAAATAAGGATTATGTTCAAATGTATTCGGGTATACCATATCCATTTGGATTAGATCCGGTAAGAGATTATTTATTTAGATCAATTAAATTTTCTATTAATAAATTATCACTTTTTCAATTCATAGATTTGGCAATTAAGCGAAAATAAAATTGTATTTACAAATTCAATGAAAATGAAATTTGCTATTATTATTGGTATTTTACAAATGGCATTTGGTGTTACATTGAGTCTATGGAATCATTTGTATGTGAAATTATTTTCTTTTTAATAATTAATTTTTTTTTATTGTTTTATTCTTGCAGACATTTCAATCATCAATATGCAATATTTGCCGAATTTTTACCGCAAATCATCTTTTTAGCATGCATATTTTTTTATTTGATTCTTTTGATATTTTATAAATGGTTACATTTTGATGGATCAAGTGCTTATAGAGCACCAAGTTTACTGATACGTAAGTAATATTCAACTGTAAAACATACAGACCAGAGTTCTGAATGGGCTGGGTTAAAACCAGGCCGGTTCGTCCAGCCCATGGCCTACCATGGGCACTACCTATTGTAATTGGCACCCATGGGTAGGGGTGGGACAGTTCCAGTTCCTATAGTTCTTAAGAACTTATCGAAAAAACTGGTCACCAGCAGTGTTTTATCTAGGTTTCGTTTTTCGAGTGGGTGGATGAAATTTTTGGAGCGGCTGTTGGCTAAAAAAGTTTTGCTAAAAACGAAATAAACTTTTTATTTTTGGGTGGGCGCCGCCCGATTACCAGACATTTGGACGCCGACGTTTGGGCGCGCACGACATTTAGGCGCAACGACATTTGGCGCATCTACGACAAAAGCAAACAGAAGTAGTGCATTTGTTAAAGTATGCTGCAAAACGATAAAACTCTCTTTAAACAAACATTTTATGCTGTGAGAGCTTTTTCT